TTTCTATCATCCAATCTCAAACTAACCTGTATGACAAGAGTGACTATTTGTAATTAGAATGATTGAATACCTTAACATGATTTCTGATTGGATTACAGTGTAATGTTTCTTACCCTTGTCATGCATATAAATTAAGCTCCAAAAATATGGCATTTGTTGATGTTTCACAACGGATTAGAAGTATTTTAGTGGGCATTGCAGTTATCACAAGGGAATAATTGTGTAGCTTTTGTCTGAAACTATTTGCAAGCTAACATCTCATGTTTTTTTTATTTTTGGAGGTGTTGGAAAAAGTTGTCTCCTTCTGCGTTTTTCTGATGGTTCTTTCACTACTAGTTTCATCACAACTATAGGGTATGCTTTTTACAGCTTAGGAGTAAAATTATAGAATTTTGTTAGCCAGGAGATTCTCTCTCTAACACCAATAGACCCACTTTCCTAATGTAGCATTGATTTTAAGATAAGAACCATTGAGCTTGATGGCAAACGGATCAAGCTCCAAATTTGGGACACTGCAGGGCAGGAGAGGTTTCGGACAATTACAACTGGTAAGGTTTATTGTTTGCACAGGTATTATTATATTGATTTTAGTATATCCTTGTATGTGGCACTTGGGAATTTGTTGCATAGCAGTTGACATGATTTGTGACACTTCCTGATGTAGGTTTTAAAGGTGGTCTAAAAACTCGAAAATGGGATATTTAGTATAGAAAAAAATATATATAAGCATGAAGAGAAGTTAGAGAAAAGAAAGGGAAGTAACCAGTGAAAAACATCATAATTCTTATTGAGTGTCAGATATGATATGTTAGGCAGCTTATTGTTCTAGTTTGGAGACGATACTTCTAAATCCCTAGGATATGACAAAAATTGGATCCCGGGATATGTATTATTTTGAACCTTAAAATGGTCTCTTGCTATATCTTTTTTGTCACCATTGTTTCAACTGCATAAAGGAATAATATAACTTTCATGCATATTTTTTACTCAATTTAATTATTGAATGTTAAAGATACCAGAGGCTAGAGCCATCGAGAGTTTGTTCAATTTACATGAGATGAATCATAGATTCATTTAGGATATGTGAGTTAGGTTTTGGAGGGGAGTGAAAGGAAAAGCAAATGTTTTATTTTAAATTTAGATATATATTTGTTTAAATGAACAAAAGACTAACGTTTTAAGTTCTTGCTAATCTATTGCTCTGTTTCTTTTGTTTACAAATAAATAAATTTGTTAGATATCTCAAACGACTAGAGAGAAGGTCAATGTAGAGTATATATAAGTGAGGAAAAATGTAGGCAATCATAACCTTTCACCTTGTAATATAGTATCAAAGTCTATCATAGATATGCTTGTTGAGCTTGTCATGCCACTTGCCTATTGAACAACTTATAAATATCTAGTTCCATACATGAAATGTCGATGACTCAAAGTGAGGGGGACAGGATGAAGATTCCATATTGATCAAAAATAAGATCAATTTATAGTATATATAAGAGAAGACAAGTGAGGACAATCATCACCTTAGATAGTTTTGTGAGAATGAGTTAGACTTACACCCACTTTCTTATAAAATTAGAGTGTTGACTTAAAATGAAAAATTTGTCCACCATTCCAAAAAACAACTTCTAAACTTCCCCTTAGTATTAATTTGTTGACTACCAAGAGTTAAACATCAGAAAAAATGTCTATTACTGTTTGTTTCATTCATGCTACCTTAATTTTTTTTTGTATTTTTCATTTTTTTTACCTCTATATATAAAAGACACGTATAAGTGGTAGTTTTTATCATTTAAGTTTTTTTCTTTTTTTGTGTAACGTATCTTTTCCTAAATTGTTTTTGCAGCTTACTATCGAGGTGCAATGGGCATATTGTTAGTCTACGATGTTACAGACGAAGCATCATTTAGCAGTAAAGTTCTCAATTGTTAATTAAGTTCGAAAGTTACAAATCTATGAATAATTCTTCACACTTTAAATGCTTTTGCATTTGGAGTATTCATTCTGCTTCTACTTATTTTAGATATCAGGAATTGGATTCGCAATATTGAGCAACATGCTTCAGACAATGTTAACAAAATACTGGTGGGGAACAAAGCTGATATGGATGAAAGCAAAAGGGTAAGTTAACCTTGTTGGTCATGTTTGATGAAACCTCTTCATTTCTTCTATCTTCTACAACTTGCATGGGCAAAGTAAAGATAATTCGAACACCAATTTGATCTGAACAAGAAGGTTGTAGAGCCAAGAGGAGAAGGGCTTGGAAAAATAACTAAAACTGTTATCAAATGTTCTTCCATCATTGTTATGCAAGTTAAAACAACTTATGGTTAAATTTCATCATTTGTGGTGTTAGAGAACCTTGTTACTGCAAGTGAATTTTCAACTATTTTGCTGGGATGTGGAGGTCAGAAAGGGGTTGAGTGTTTTATCTGATGCCATATGTGCATGCATGCATGTCAGACTTGAAATGTTCTTGATCGAATATACCTTCCCTTTTCTTTTAAGGTTGTGCCTACATCCAAGGGTCAAGAACTGGCCGATGAGTATGGAATTAAATTCTTTGAAACTGTAAGTGGCGTAAACCAGAAAATGTGGAAACCCCTAAACTTCTTTGTCATTATGCTCATAAAAAAATACTATTGCAGAGTGCAAAAACAAATCTAAATGTTGAGGAAGTTTTCTTCTCAATAGCAAGAGATATAAAACAAAGGTTGGCTGACACGGACTCGAAAACAGAGGTATTTGAACTTCCTCTCTCAGTACTATAATGTCTTAATAGTTCCCTCTTCCTTTCTAAAGTTGATATTTTCATTGCAGCCATCAACAATCAAAATCAACCAAGACCAATCAGGAGGAGTTGGGGAAGCTGCCCAGAAATCGGCTTGCTGTGGTTGAAGACAAATGTTACAAAATTGGAGGCAACATTACTTTCCAAGAACATGGAGGAAAAATTACATGTATAATGATCATGATGCTGACTTGCACTTAACCTTCTCATTCTTCATGAATTTGTGTGTGATAAGTAGTGTCTGAACCTTTTAACAAGTAATCCAAAACTCCATGTATCGTGGAGATTGCATGTCCAACTTTCTATGGTGGGGGACATGAGATTCATTCAATATTGATTTTTTTTTTCCAATGTATAATAGATGCAACGACTTGTGTTGGGCTGGAACACATTTTCAAAATTTGTTCTCTGCCATCAGGCATTGCAGTGAAATATAAATGCATGTGAAATATAAATCTCGTATTAACTACTCAAGCCGAAGTTGGTATGAAAAGTATATAAGCTAATTTCACTGAAAATAAGAATCAAATATTTTATCAAAAGTTAAATACGATTGGCAGAATTTATTTAGTTTTTAATGTCTTATTATAATTTGGATTATTTTCTTTATTTTTTTATTTTATAAATTTCACGAAAATAAATGTGATACCCTTGTCCAAATAGGAATTTCATACATAAATGTTATCCCAAACTGATATTCAACAAACTGTTTATTGTTTACTAAACTTTATTGTTAACCAAACTAACAGTATTTTATATACTACGTTGCTATAGTTATTTCAATGGATAACTATATATTAAAATTTATAATGATTTATTAAGTAGTTTTATATTATTAAATGAGATGTTATAATTTTAGTTATAGATAATTTTTATTTTATAAAATAATATTTAATTTAATTAATATAACAAATTATTTTTTATATCTAAATTAGTTATTATTTAATGTTTTTATTGTAATTATAGGATTAATCTATAGCAAGGATAACTCACGGTTGGGTGATGTATCATATGAACTAAAACTAGACTTTTGTATAGGTAAACTTCTATGACATTTAATTATAGTTAGAATGAGTATACTCAAACCCAAAATATTATTTTGGTGTGCTTGACATTAATTGGGATAAATTAGTAAATTTTGAAAATTAATCTGTGTCTTTTAAGATAAATTTGAGTTTTATTTTTGAATAATTTCAACCTAGTTTAATGTTAATTTTTTCTCTCTAAAAGATATCTTTTTTCTCAACAAGTATATATTAATAATACAACAACTTTTGTACAATAAATGATATTATGTATACGTTACTTATATTAGAACTAAGTATATAATTTCAAAATTTGTAGTTATAAATTAAACACTAATGAAACTCTATATTATTTTATAATACAACTATATATATAGTATTAGATTGATATTTTGTATTATTTCTTCTTCTTATTTAAGGTTTTATTCGCATTGCAAAATTATAAATAAAGACACTTTCATTGTAATTTACTATTTCTAGTAACTTTTAGTGATTTCTTAACACGTTTTCTTCCATTTATCCATAATTTTTTTGGGTATAATTTACTTTTTAATATTTTAATTTATTTTTATGTTCAATTCAGTCTTTAATTTAAAAAAAAATACTAATTTAGTCTTTCAATTAAAAATGACATATTTTTAACATAGTTGATTAAATTGATGTAACCAATGTAACTCAATATACAAAGTATACCGTAAAGTTACAATGATAAAAAAGTATTAAATATATGTTTTTCATCTTGATATAACAAATTTTGTTTTTTTTTAAAATTAAATTATAAATTATTTTGTCCTTAAAATTTATGAAAATCATCGAAAATATTTTTTCAAACAAATGATATATTGAGTGTTTTTAATATGACAAGCCAGTTTTATAATGTAACCTCTCTATATATATTGTGGAGGTTATTTTATATAACTTTCATAAAATTTAAAGATAAAATAATTTATAAGTTCGTTATAAACAAAACACAAAATTTTTATAATACTCTAAAGATAAACATATTTAATGTAAAAAAAATTAAACTTAGTTTCCATTAAATGTATTTTCAAATTTCTCCCAGTATATTAGCCTTTTTAATTACTTAATACGAATACAAAATGAATTTGGTAAAGTAAGAACAAAAACAAATGCTAAAACCTAGTAAAAGAAATTGAAAAGAGCTCACATCTAAAATGTTCCAATCACAAGAACAAATGTAAAACAGGTGTCATTGAATTGAGGGTAAGATAATTCTCGTACGGTGTCAAGTTCAAGTCCAACCACAAACGAAGCTTTTTAGTGACATTAGATTCTGGCAAATCTTGGTCATGAATAGTTGACAAGGCATCATTTGAAGAAACTCTATGCTTTCTCATATGTCCTCCCAAAGCTTGTCCAAGACCAAACACAAGTCCACAAATTGAGCATTGGTGCAATCTTGGCGTCACCATCGAACTCGAAAGGTTTGAAGCCATTCGGTTTAGGTTCTTGTGGCTAGCTCGGTGGCCTCCAAGGGCTTGAAACGAAAGGAACTGCTTGTTACATGTCTTACACTTAAATTCACCACTCTTTAGAACCTTCTCTCTTAGTGGATCTTCCTCAACTTTGGCTTGTAACATCAAACAATTAGTCATGGTTGAGAGAAAAATGTTGTTAAATGAGAAAATATTTTGGACCTTAAGGGCATTGAACAGTGTATATATAGTGTCTTTGTGATGAAGGAAATGAACAATATATTGTGTGTTAATCGTGAATGTTGGTCGAAACACGAGGTGACACGAATTGATGCACTTTGTTTTGTTTAAGATTCGGACTGAAACTCCTAGTCAAAGACAGGAAAGTTATGAATCAGATGAAATAAAAGAAAATGATATTCCCACAGTTTTTCTATTGCAGCATTTCCAAGAAATAATGTTTGGTGGAAAACGAAATTAGACTATCCATATATTTGAATTACTTAATATAAATATAAATAAATTAAGTAATTTATTGCAACGGCAATGGAGGCTAAAAAGTGAGTAAAGTTGGCTTAAAGAGAAAATGGGAAAAAAAGTGGAGGAACTTATGGAAACCATGTTTCTTCCCTATGCAAGTTGATTCCACATTTTCCACCATTTTTTTTAAATCCTCTTATTTATACGAGAATATCAAATGACTCCTCATATTGGTAATTGTCTCAATTAAATCTTAATATTTATAAAATATTGGTTCAAATATTTGAAAAATTTAGTCAATTAAATCCTGTCTGTTAAATCTTCACAAACATCGTTAATAGCGGATGACATGTTACACGCTTATGTCAAATATTTGATTATGTAGAAATTTTATTTAATTTAAAACATTATAACATGACAAAAGGGTTTTACTTATCTTCATATTAGGGTCCACCATGGCCGCCACCGCTAGCGGTCACCATTTTCACCATCTCTTCAACCACAGTTTACGATCAATCCTTGCATCATCCAAACACAACAGTGGACCATCCAGTATCAGATCCCTAACCTGCAGAGAAGCTTAGATGAACAATCCCAAAGATCCCCAATCGAAACTGAGAGCCTCGCACCGTGATACGCCGGAGGACGAAAACCCTCGTCGCCGAAGAGACATTGCCGCTGAGACGCAAATCGAGAGTAGGGGTTCGGGAACGATCCTGCAAAAGAGGTGAAGCTGGTGGAGACAGAGTCGATGGAAGTCAGTGCTGGGAAGCACGAGTCCGGTTTGGCGATCGATCTGGAGGGTCTGGATGAACTGGAAGGGGAAGGTGGAGGCCTTGCGAATGGCGAAGGCAACAGCGGCGACAGAAGGCACGATGAGGCAGAAGGCGTCATCAGAATCGGAGGTAGGGTTGTCGTTGTGCGTGATAGGGAGGCTGACTGAATTGGAGGAGTGTGAGTCACACCTACGCTCGCTGCACAGACAAGCATTTCCCTTTGATTGATTACTTTGCAACACCAAAATCAAGCTTCTATTTCTACTTAATTGGATTCTTCATCCTTCAGCTAAAAACAATTTTTAGCTTTTTTCTTCTTAATTTACTTCTCTGTTTCACTGAATTTTTTCAATGGCAGTTCAAAATTCATATATTAAATTTATACTTTACTATTGATTTTCCTTACTATTTCTCAACCTATTATGCTTGAAAATGGTACTTGAAAATGGTAATTTAATTTGTGGATCATCTATTGAAAACTGGAATTCCTGGGACGCCTGGGTAGAGGTGTTAACTGAACTCATCCTAGTTGAGCGGTTCGCTTCAGTGATGGTTAGAAATGGTAGCATGTTGACATTTATTGCTTATTGTGTGCAATAGGTAACACCAGATTTAGGCAGGTCATGGAACAAGCATGGTCCAATTTACATTGAAAATGAACCTCTGAGTGTGATTCAACCAGTACCTTATCAAACTGCAAATGGGAAATTACGTGTAAACAAGTCTTTTACTGCAAGGAACCCATTCATTTAATCATGGCCGAAAGGAAAAAGGAAATTACGTACATAACATACATCAGCTTTAACATGAAAAGACAAGCTAGAAGTACTTTTACTTTCATGTGACCAATTTTATCCTACATGGTTGCATTTCCATGACTGCTTTGTAAACGTGAGTATATTAAATTCTGGTCAATTTTGTGAACTATATTGCTTTCAAATTTTTGCTGCATAGTTATGAAGATTGTTTTATCTGAACAGTAACGTTGATCATTGATAATGATTACACTAGAAATGTGTGATGACTATATTAAATTCTATTACTTGACAGGTTTGCAGAGGGGCGTTTGCAGAGGAGAAAATGCTTGTAGGGGAAGAGGGGAAAAGTTTGAAGAACCATGGGCCACACGACGTTGCTGGCGTGAGCGGCGTGAGGGGAAAAGTTTTGAATATTTGGTTTTTTTTTGGACGGTTTGTGGGGCGCGTTTGTCGAACTCCTCTTTCCCTCTGCGGACGGCGACATTTGTCATGGCCCCAACGGTGGCGTTTGTCATGGCTCCAACGGTAGCGTTTTTTAGTTTGAGAGGGAGAAAGGGTGTGTGTGTCTCTGGGGAGTGAGGGTTTGAGGATGGAAGTGGGAAAGAAGCAGCTTGGACGGAGGAACGAAGAGGTGAAAGGTGATAAGTGGTTTGAGGGAAGAAGAAGCACCACGTGGATTTGATTAATTTAATGCGCAATGTCATGTCATCAAAACAAAAATACAGCTCAACTCAATTTAACGCTGTTTGGAACAACTTAACGGTTAGGATAAAATTGACTCAATTTTACAAATATTTAGACCCAATTGGGATATTTTATAAATATATAGACCCAATTGAGACAGTTGAAAATATGAAGACCCACTTGAGATTCCCATACAAATACGAGGATCATTCGAGGGTTTAAAACTTTTTAAAACTTTTTTTTTAAAAGGTACTATGGGTCACTTTATTTTTGTTGCTGGCTTTTACTTTTTCACTTCTTTAATTTTTCCTCCACCTCTGTTGTTTTGAAAATACCAAACTTGCCCTTTCTTTTTTAATTTGAAACAGGGTAGCATCACCATCTGTATTTGTGTTTGTTTCCACTTTTCAATGACCTTTTTCTACAGTATTGAGCAAACAATCCATTCGGAATGAAAGTATGTTTGGAAAGAAAGTGTGACGAGGGAGTTGCATAAAGAAATATGGAGGTGTAGGAAACAAAATACTGGATCACTGGGCTTTTGAGTAAAAACAAAATACTGGATCACTGGTTCACAAACTACTTGAAGGGCCTATTTTCCGACCTACTTCAAAATATTACATTTAAACAAAACTTATTTTATTTAAATATTATTTTCTATATTTTGTTTTACGTAGGACAGTTTTATTATTATTTCTCTTCTCTTCCTCTCAACAACAGTATTTTATTTGAATTTTACTACTACTTTTTTAATTACGTTATTTGTTTCGGCCATTACGTTTTTCAATAGTCCAGTTTGAAAAAAAGTCGTGAGAACATTTATAATTATTGTTTTAGTTAAATTTTAGGAATTTTTTATCAATAAAATATTGTTTTGTGACCTTGGATTGTTTAAAAGTGGGGTGCATTGCTTTTTTAAACAGCTGCTTCTTGTGAGTAATTTAAATTTGTTTTAAATATAGGAAAGATAATATGAAATGTTAAAAAGAAATAAAATATCTGTGTTCTGAACAATTTGTTAACTATTGTGGTGAAAACATGCCAAGAAGTAACGGTAACTACGTTTTCACTTCAATAGTTACAGTAACTATGTTGTAAATTTGGAAACCTAGTTACGGTAACTGAAAAGTTCTGTCATGTGTGTTAATATCTAGTCTTCTTTTCTTATTATTTTGTGTAGATTTTTTTTTTTCCTTTTCATGTATAAAAGTGTGGTAATTAGTAAAGAGATGCTTTAGAAAACATTAAAGTAAAGACAAAAAAAGTGTCACACACGCGTGCTTTAGAGTTGAAACAGGAAAAGCTGAAGTATGGTATATACTCACATTTCGCAGCATTATAAGTCAAAGGATTAACAGTGTAAAAGGCTGCTACAAATTTAATGGCAATGCATTTTTATTTTATGGGCAAAGGCTGCTACATAGTGTATTTGTTGCTATAATGTTTTTAGAAATATTTTTTTATTTTTAAAACGGTTGTGAATGTTTTCGAAGGTAGAGTTTATTTTTCAACTTCATTCGACACATAAAATATGATTGTGCAGCACAAAATCCAGGTATGCGGTAAGCGCCATTTATGTATGTGAAAAGAGAAAGTAAACTTTGATATAATTGGTCTTCAACAACTACTGGTATAAATAATTTGACACTTGAATTATATGAACAAATCATTATCCTGAGTGTGATAATCAAAATAACCTTTTCATTTTTTAAAAAGAATGACCTGGTGAGATCTTTAACTTTAATAATAAGAAGAAAGAGGCAATTATTTACCAAGAAAAGACAATTGTCACAGCCAACCAGACCCCATATAACGCCAGGAATGAAACGATGGCTAATCCTTACATGTACTGACTTTAGGCCAAAAACCTAAACATCAAACCTACACACGGCTGTGTCACTAGCAAATTGCCAAGCTCTACACCACTATACTGCCCCTACTTCATTAGAAGTGGTCCTAACTGCTTCCATATTTATACATTCTTCCAAACTAACCTCACTTCTCTAAAATTTTGTTCTCTTCTCCACTATCAGCTAAAATACCCTACAAACCTCCATTGACAAGATTTCCTTACGTTTTATATTCATTCAAAGTATCAGTTATTGTTGTGAGTCAAATCTTTTGCTCCCGTGTTGGCCACCGCTAGCAATATGCGTGGAAGTACCCTCATCTTTCTTTGTTGGCAGTGTCTTAGATTTCCTTGGTATGCACTTTGCCCGCACCACTTCTCCTTCGTGCTCCACTATCTCTAACCGGGAACCGCTGCAAGGAACAAAGAGGCCACAGACAAAACCACATTATTGATAAAACCATTTGTCACTGTCATAATCATAAAGGAAGCTTTTAATCATGGCATCTAGCACCACGTTGTCCCATCCTTAGAAATTTTTAATTGCTTTTAAGATAAAAGAAAAGTTATTAAGCTCTTTTTAAAAACATACCTAATTTCCAGTACATGGCTAATTAATGAATGTATAAACAGTAGTCGGCAATTAATCAAAACAGAGCATATAATATCACATTGCCCCAGAGGAATTCCTCTTTTTACCACATGCACCCAGTAGCCGCTGATTTCGTACTGCTAGAATTGTTTTAGGTGACAAACTGGCAAGTTAATTAATAATGAATATCTAATTATCAACTCTCTCGATGCTTGAAATTAGACCCCACATGCATGCAGAAACTGAAAAATACTAAATGAGACCAAAACAAAATAACGAGTATGTCTAATTGCATCATTAACTAAAATTTAAGTGGTGCATAATAAATTCATTATACATGCTGTGTACGAGATGGAAGAGGACTGACACGCCACTATCAAGAATCAACATCTTGTGTTACTGTACACAACCAATTACTAGCTACTCATTTTGTGTAAATTGAACATTTTTCGCAAACAAATGTTAAATCATATGACACTTGGAGCAATATCTTAAAAAGTTTTGAGCATGACATGACTACGTATGCTTTCATTTTCGGGTGCCGAGGCTACATGATGAAGAAGTAGAATGGACAACATCCGGAGACAGAGGAAGTTAAAACCCTACCATGTTCTGACAATAATACATATGATCTACAAAAATTTGAAATCGTAAGATATGTAGTTAAATTCAGAATTTCTTAAATAACTATTAATGTTATGTGCTTACTAAGTATAAGATTACTTGCGCGTGCCATATAATCTAAAGGCTTACCGAGTAAAATTTTAAAGAAAATTGCAGACATATAATCACCCTGTAAACGGAAATTATAGTATTATAATGAAAAAAAATGTTAGATGGGTATTTATTATGACAAACCAACAAGAGATTGCTTCGTAATCTCTAAATCAAGATCTCAGATTATTAAAAAATAATATTTATTATGATGTATGCACAGGAAGAAATGAAAAGAAAAACATAATGAGGTATTTTTTAAGAGAAACAAAAAAGGTTAAAAAAAAGTTAACTTTTACAAAAGAAAATAGTTTTTGTTTTCACTTTTCCAATTCAAATTTTGAACTTTTTCTTCTCCTCTATTCTCTTTTTCTCATTCTATGCAGAGTTAGAGCATATGAACAGAAGAAACACAAATTGGAAAAAAAGGAAAAGAAATCTATAAAGACAGAAAATGAAGTAATAAGAAATAAACAAAGAAAAATAGAATAAAATAAATAGCAACATGGGAGAAGAGTTAGGTCTCTATTATAATAATCTGACCAACAGAATTGTGTAATAAAATATTTTACGTTTTCAACTCGAACGACAAAATCTGACCTACTTGTTGGTCTTGAATAACAAATTTTTTAAATGTCTTCAATCTCAAGATGCTTTCTATGTCCTAGGAGCATTACACATGCTTAACCACAACTTTTTATTTAACCTATGAAGCAGAAACCGTATGAATGTCAATGCCCACATTCTCCAACGTTGCTAACTACAAGGTACACGCAGGGGCATGGAATTTACAAAAGTCACCTTAAAACAATGGTTATATAAATAAACGTAGGAATGGAAAAATAAAAAATAAAACATGTAGCCTAAACCCCAAATAATAAATAGTATAATACCTTCTTCTAATAGAAATTATTAAGTTAATCAACCAAAACTTTCCATTAATTAATATAGCAGAAAACGGTGCATAGTTGTGGCAGCAGCAAAAACTTTGTCTTTGTAATTCAGTCAACTTGATTACTAAAAGAGATTTGATAATTTGAAAGCCAAAAAATGTAGCATACCTATCTGCATTGTAAGAAGAAGACCTCTTCAAAGTAGGGGTTTCCACTTTCTTGGTTTCGATCAAGCTTCCGCTAAAATATTCCTTATCTTCCAACCTAAGCCTGTTCAAATCCGGAATTTCCATCGATATCCCTGTCTCCTTTCCCACGTGATTCCCTGCTCCACGGGGCATCCTGGACTTGTAGTGCCCAACCAACGAAAACCCTTGATCTTTCACTGCGTTAACCCCACACTCCTTAAAAGACACAGCGCCACACGATAGCAACTGCAACAAAACCGACGACGCTCTCATCCTCCCACTAGGACAGCTCTCCACCGTCAGATTCTCCTTCTCCGATTCCGAAGACCGCAATCCGAGCCGCCCATCTGCCTTCATCAGCGTCTCCAGCGTCTCAGGGCTCGAATCCGACGGCGGAGGCGAGATCTCATCCCTGCTCAGCTCCGTAGTATGATTATTGTTATTATCACAAGTCACGTGCGAAACCCTCTCCCCTTCCATTCCCGCGTCAATTCCATCATTCTTCTCGTGAATCTCTTCCGCCTCTTCCTCCCTCGCCGCCCTCCTCCGCCTCCGCTTCTCCTCCGTCTGAGTGGCAGCGTCAGCACCGATTCTCCCAGCCGAGTCGCCGAACGATTCGGATTTATAAACACGGTACTCGTTCAAATCGATAGAACTCCACGACTGGTTCCGCCGCCTCGTGATCACCACGGGCGAGCCGGACTCCTCTTCCGACTTGTTAACCCTCGCAACGCCGGCGACACTGTGCTCAACAATCTCCGATCCTTTGAGAATGTAGTCCTGCCCCTGCGTCGGGTAGATGAAATCGTTCTCCGACAAATCGTGCCAAACGAAGCCGTTTTTGTAGCTCCTGAATGACCACCACACCACCGTTAAAACAAAACAAAAATAAAAACTAAATTTGAATCAGTTTAAACAAAACCATAGAACGGTACCGTTTGGAGGACCAAGAATACATGGTGGGCATGGCTTTCCCTCGGA